TCCAAACGCGGTAGCCCCGTCCGCGCATCTGACCCCGGTGAGATCTCAACAATAACACACCTACACCCTCCCACAGTCCATCCATGAGCGAATGTTTGCATCTCTTCTTTTTGCTCCCCTTCACTCTCGCTAACAATGCAAAGTAAAATAATCGATGAAGGATTTGCTTTTTTGAAAAAGGATGGAAAAGGGTTCGGTCAAAACTCTCCGGATTCCTAAAAGGTGGACCGCGATCTGGAATTCTATGAGCGTGGGAGAAGCGGAGGTTCTTTTCAAGCTCAGAAACAGAATATTTTTGGTTGGGTGGCCGAATTTTGCGTGGAGAAAGTGCGTTTCCCATGCGCATGCACTCTTATCCATGAAAGAAGAGCTAATTTCGATGGAGACAATTTCATTCCCCCAAAACTTAATTTTCTCTACCTGTCTGGTTCTGGTGAAGCCAAAATCTGCGAGAAAATAGCAGGGTTTTAATTTTAAAATCAAACTATACCTCTTTTGTCCTATAGTAGCGTTAACTGCTGACGGATTTAAAAATAGTTTCATTGATGGACTGCTAGGGAGAGGAATTTTTAACATATAAACATTAGAAACTCAATTTGGTATTGTTTTTTCGTGAAAATTACTTCAAAAAGTTTAAATTGAAGTACTTCAAGTTTTTCCTTCTTTAAAAAAATAAAGCGATAAGGAGATCATGGAAGTGCAAAATGACACTTCATATGAGAAAACCAGAAAGCGTTTCCTAATTCACACCGTTTAACATTTAGTTGTTCCTAAGTGTTCTCCTTTTAAAATTTACTATTTTTTTATCCTTATTTTATTTTTTCTGAATGATGCTACTATAGGAGTAAATTATGACTAAAAATTTATGAGTAAATTATTTACTTGATAAAAAGTTGAAATTGAAACAATTTTCGGCAATATTCTGAAAATTGATATTTCAAAGTAACCTACCTACTCTGTTGTGAATTGTTGTTATTAAAAAAGAAGTTTTTAAGGTTTTCAAATACAAAGGAAAAATAAGATACCTACTTATCGATAACTGGTGAATCATGCCACATGGATGCGCCACATATCCCTCGTTAAAAAATTGTCCTCCATTTTCTGATATAACTACTGTACTGCTCATAGAAAGTTTCAGCAGAGCAGGTAGTTTAGATTGACGTTTTTATTTTCAGGACATGTATATGTTACGGCCAATGCCGATAACCGGCCAAAGTCGTTATTGGCCGGCTGATGACGACTTTGGCCAATACGGCCGGCCTATGATGCCGTCATTGGCCAAATTAGCCGGCCAAAGTCGTCATTGGCCGAATTGCCGGCATCGGCCGTAACATATATGAAATCTACTCAAATTATTTTGCTAGAGACACCAGTTTTTTACAAGGCCGGTTTTAGGATGGGATGCATTTTTTAAAACTTACTTAATGCGCGCAGAAAAAAGTATTGAAAAAGTTGGCAACACTGACTTTTCTTCATTTAAACCTGTGTTGATTCATCGCTGCTTGTCGAAGCATCTTGCCACCTTGCCCCTCCGAAAATCGATTCGTTTTAATGGGTTTAAATGGATAGAAAACTGCCAACTTGTTGGATACATCAATGGCCGTTTCTGCGTGTTCCTTATTCTGTCGAGTTCCCCTTCAAAAAGTGTGATGGCAATTTGATCGGCTTAGGAGCACGAGCAGTTGCGCGCCAGTGGTGTCACTCCCCCCCTAGGTGCTTGACGAGTTCCCCCTCTATTTCATTACTTTTCACCCCCCCTTAAACAGCCGCGAATTTCCAGGGGGCGGTCCCCTTCNAAAAAAAAAAAAAAAAAAAAAAAAAAAAAAAAAAAAAAAAAAAAAAAAAAAAAAAAAAAAAAGTCACCCCCCCAATTTCAAACTTGACGAGTTGCTCGTCTACAAACATGGCTACTGACACCACTGTTGCGCGCAGTAGCACTGTCACTATTGCGTGACACAACGACTCCTTCAATATTTGTACTTAATCCTGGGACACCCTGTATACTGCCATGCAAAGGAAAAACGCCGTATGAACATTCGAGAGTTACCAAATTGCCTCCGATAAAATGTTCATTTTTGAGAAAAGTTATCAGTATTTTTCCTTGAAATTTTAGACTATTTAGATCAAATTACGAAAGAAGTTCCCTGAAAAATCGAAAGAGAAATATATAGAAATATTCCCGAAAATTCGTGAATTTTCAAAGGAAATTTGGCAACCCCTGAAGGCTCATACGGCGTTTTTCCTTAGCACGGCAATTAAGAGAACAGAGCTCAAGTGGAAATTGAGATACCCTCTAGTGTTAGAGGAGCGACATGTTGGCAAATGATCCCAAACCATCATCAAACGAGAAGAATGTCAAAAGCTCTAAATACGGCGCCATGCACAGATGCACCGTATAAACATTTGAATGCTGCCATAGAGAAAAAAAGGAGGTGTTTGCACCTTGAGGATTGTGTACCCTGTGAAGTAGGTCGGTACAACCTGGTCAGCAAAATCCGGAATTCGAAGTAACGTCCGATTGTTTTGCTTAAATCAACTCATGATATAATTTCTACCACTATATGTAGAATGCATTTTTTCCATAAACTACACCATTTCCAAGAAAATCGATGATAAAAGTCGCGGTACCGACCTAGGTCGTCAAAAAAATCCAAGATGCCCGAAATGCAAACACCTCCTTTTTTTTCTCCCTATGGAATGTTGCTGAATTTGTCCCGATAAAATATTATTTTTTAAAAAAGCTATGAATACTTTTCCTCGAAATTTTCAGATACTCTAAATTGAATCGTGAGCAGAATTCTCAAAATAATTATATGAAAAATATTCACAATTTTTCCAGAAAATTTGTCTTTTTTTCAATAAAAATTTGGCAACGTCGTTTTGCTTCAGCACCACCGTAGTACAAATCTAAAATGCAGGTGACTGAATAGTAACTACAGCTGGTCCTTTTTAGAAATCTAGTCCCAAAAGCGGCCATCTCCATTGCCCTGTCTAAAAATTGTGCGATCATTATAATTTTAAAAGTGAAAGAACGGGAAAACCTACTAGTTTATGTTTTCTCGTGAATTTTCTGTAATTTAGCGAAAAAATTGGAAAATTCTAAAAACAGCTGTACGTTTTGATTGTTCCTCATAGAAAATTAATATGATTGCACAATTTTTAGGTAGAGCAATGGCGATTGCTGCTTTTGGAATTAGACGCCTCATTTCATCACGACTCAATGTGCTCTAAGATCACGTCTTAACATTGTTGTTCTTGTTGTTCTGCCAGTACTGAACGGTGTATTTTAGACTATCTTTGATGCAGAAGTTTATTTCTCAATTCCATCCTTTGTTAACTAGGTGCGATAAAACAGGATCTTTGACGGGAATGCAATGCGACAAAATTTTCTGATTGCAATTTCTTATCATTTATTATTTTTAAAAAAATACTTTCCGATGAGATTAAAAACATAAAACAAGTAGAAACATCTATGAACAACAGAACGGATAAACGATTTCAAGACTAATTTTTCACAAAATATTTACAAACACACAATTTCAACTAAACTTAAAACATTAAAATTTTCAATATATTAAAATTAATGACTTGGAAATTTTATAGACTAGGTGATAGGTACTTCCGAGAATAGCGACAGAGACGACATATACAAATTCAGACAAAATAGATGTAGATAGATCATGACATGAAATAAAATAGTAACAGGTTACAAGAGGGTACGCACATCATGGTGCTTTGTAATACAAATTTTCCTAGAACCACCGAAATTCGGGGTTTCCTTGCAATTGGAAACTGACTGCTTTTCGCTTTTACTGAAAACCGATGCTTTCCATTTTTAAAAGATTGCATTGCAGGTGGTAAAACAGTTCGGATAGTGAAGAAAAGTAGGTAATAGATAAGATTTGATTTTTTTGGCTATTGCTGCTGCTGATTTGATGTTGTTGCTGTTCCTCCCTCCTCCCCCCCCCCAAAAAAATAAGCCTCCATTTTTCTTTACCTGTTCTTCATAAAAAGCAGCTCATTTTTACCTCAATAACAATTTACAATTACAAATTATATGAAAACTATGGAAGAGATAGAAGGAAAGAGTTGGGGGAGATCGTAGAACCGATACCATTCCATGAGCCTATATCCTATAGCTTCCACCTTACTTAAGTATTGAAAATATTGTAAGATAAATCCCCCTACGTCAGTATCCTAAATGTATGCTATGATACCTGTCTAGAAATACTTACAGCTTTATACTTAGATTCGATACAGTAAATTTATACCTGAGCTCAAATCCTACGCATCTAATATGTATAAGTATATAAGAACTTTAATTCTCAAATGCAAATCAATTTCTACGAGTTTTGGTAATGATTTTTAGAATTTATGACAAAAGATTTCTTTTATGAATACGGGAATATCTCTTTTTTGCAACAATGAGGACGTTGCTTTCATCATTCTATAAAGGATAAAAAAATTAGGAATAATTTTAATTTTGATTATAAAATAAGTAGTAATAGTATGAGTATCTTGAACGACTTACTGAAAAGATGTATGAATTGGACGAAGAATAATATTCATTCATTTTTGTGACTAATCAAATTCATGCGGTTGGCTCTGCTTTCGTGCCCATATAGGTATTTCAGACGTTCATATACTTGCGAAAAACTTTCAACTGCTCCCTAGCTATTTTGGGGGAAAAGCTATTCGGAAGAAAAAAACCACGTCCAAAAACATACATATCCAATTGAGTACGTTTTTTCTCATTAGGGACATACTTCCGCGATATGGAAGAACGCCGTATTCGAGAGTTGCTTTTCCATCAGTAAAATGTTTATTTTTAAGTAAAGTTATCAATATTTTTTGTTGAAATTTTAAGGAATTGGAATAAAATTGCAAGCAACATTATCTGAAAAATTGGAAGAAAAATATTCATAAGTTTACCAGGAAATTTTTTCTTTATCAATCGAAATTTGGCAACGCCTAAAGGTTCATACAGGGTTTTTCCTTGGCACGGCAGCATAGTCGTGCAATATCAACCATCCATACATTCCTTTGCGGATGATCGCTACATGTAAATATTGATAACCTACACTATTCGTAATGTTCACATCATCCTCTGACGCTTTTAACTTATCTCGTTGAAACGATTTTCTCGACTGGTACCTAGCTGTGAGGGAAGCGAGCTATGTGGAGGAAGAAAGCCATCTCGTCTTTCGTCTTGTGGCCGCACATGTTGCACGTGAACGGATCCCGGTAGTCATGGAAGCCCATGTGGATCGAGTACATGGCCAGGTTCTTGAAGATGATGTCGCAGAAGGAGCACCTGAAATTGTTCTCGTTCTCGTCGCCGGAATTGGTGCAAGAAGTGTCCGGAGTCGTCGGCTTGGAGCCGCCACGCACTATCTCCTCGTTGTTGTTCTCCTCCGTCTTCACGATGACGTCCACCCTCTCCGACCCCTCCTTCGGGATCGACTCCGGCGTCCGGTGCCCGTCCACCACCGAGACCTGATCCGGCAGTTTCCGGAACTGATCCGGCACCCGCGGAACCAGTAACTCCGAGTAGGGTTGAACCCGCGTCATCGCTTCCGGAAGCTGCTCCGCCGATTTCCGGAAAACCTGCTCCGGGCTCTGGTTGAGTCCCGTACCGCTGACATCGACCGAGTCTATGGAGAGACTCTCGTCCGTGTTGGAGAGGCTCGAGGGATCCGCTCGCGACTTAGAGTCCGACTCAGATTTGTTCGGCGAAAATTGTTCCGGACTGGACAGCATTTGGGCGTGGGGCGACACTGCTTTGAGCTTCGGTTCCCGGATCGGGTCCTGGAATGAGTCCTGAAGCGCCGCGAACACCCGTTTTACGGCGACGCCCTTCCGTCGGTTCTTCCCGGCGCGCTCTTGACTAGATACTTCCGACTTGCTCAGGTCCAGCGGAGCCGTCGTCAGATACGTAGCCGTCTCCTCTTCAGACCTGTAATCATAAGATTATTTGTTTTAAAACAAAATTTTATGCCTTGAGGCAGTATTATAATTTATTACATGTACCACACGGAGAAAAAAACCTCGCGCGTGGGACCCGAAGTTTAGGTCATATGGATCTCTGAAAGGTCTAGCTATCGAGGTTCGGATCACACTGAAACTTCAGTTCTTACATCTGAAGTACTTTAGATATGAGAACCGAAGTTTTTCGGATGTGAAAACCGAAGTACTTCAAATGTAAGAACTGAAGTTTCAGATGTGTGATCCAAACCTCAGCAGCTGGACCTAAAGTATACAGATGCTCAATTCGAAAACTTCACAGATCCATATGACCTAAACTTCGGGTCCCGCGCACGAAGTTTTTTTCTCCATGCATATCGACGGCGTAAGTCTGCAACCACGGATCTCATTCGCGGTGTTTGAAAATCTCCGCTCTTATTTTACTTTTTTAAGGATAACAAATCAACATCATTCCTTTAAACTTTTGAAGAATCTTCTAGGCACTGAGAAGGAAAATCACGGCAGTTTTTAAGAATTGCCGTTGAGTAATTTTCCATTTAAAACATGAGGTGTGACAGGAAGTCTGCTACGTCGCAAACCGAGATACGTGGTTGCAGACTGACACTGTCGATATCCATGACGCCAGAGACAAATGGAATCCTCAGCCTTTCGGCTACAGGTTATAAAACTTTCTCTTGGAGCTCAAAATCAACTTGGTATGGCTTTGAGCAACGTGTTGAACAAGTTTTCAGCAAACAAGTTGATGTCTAGTATACATATTTCAAGTGTCCACAGCACACTACCTTGCAACATTGATGGATGACTGCATAAGGGGAAATATGTGGCACGATGTTTCTTTTTGAATACATGTAACCGGCCATGCGGAAGAAGTCTTAGTCCACAAATATTCGTCGTTACGTTATTGATACCAGAGAATAAAAGAATTAGAATGACACATCAGGTCACAAAACGCCTTAAAATGACAGTCCGAACGAAGACAATGCCAATTTGAAGTTTAAAGCGGCAGAAAGTTTGAGAAAAAGCTGTTTTAAGTGTAAATCCGCCATGTTTAGAGCTTGGAAGTGTAAAATTAATATGGGTCTTGAGATCTTTCATTGGCACAAAAATGACCACTCGCAAAACAGTTTTTTGGACGCCAGAGACTATTTCTGGTCGGAAACTCATAATTTTCGATCTAGGTTGAAAACATGACTCTACCTAAAGATGCGGATTAAGTTTTCTGCAGAGACAAGAGACCCTCCACTGGCCTCTTGGCGACAGGTGGAATCTTTTACTTTCGGAGATTCAACAATTCCTTAGGGACAATATAAGGGAGCCACAGTCATCACCCTAATTTCGGCTGTTGACCTATACCTACAGGGTAAATGATGAGCTTCGGGTGACGTCATGAGCCAAACAAGATTCCGAAACTTCGGCTATTCTCGGCTTGTTTGAAAAACGAAACTGCCAACACGTTGATGAACATCAACCATGTAGGTAAGTCAACAGTAGAACGCTGAGGTCCCGAAAGTAAAAGCCTCCACCATGGCCAAGATGCTAGTCGAGGGTCTCTTGTCTCCGGTTTTTGTCTTACTTGCAAACAGAGACAAGAGACCCTCCACTAGTATAGCTTTTACTTTCGGGACTTCAGCATTCTACTGCTGACTTACCTACATGGTTGATGTTTAACAACAACGTGTTGGCAGTTTCGTTTCGCAAACAAGCCGAAAATGGCCGAAGTTTAAGAAACTTGTTTGGCTCATGACGTCACCCGAAGCTCATCATCGACCATGTAGGTAGTTCAACAGCCGAAATTAGGGTGATGACTGCTGCTCCCTTATAATTTTCCATAAGGAACTGTTGAATCCCCGAAAGTAAAAGCTTCCACCTGTCGCCAAGAGGCCAGTGGAGGGTCTCTTGTCTCTGCTTGCAAATCTGAAAATTCTATAATAATTGAATAGCTTCTCACCTGTAGTCGGTGTTGTTGTTGAGTTGGTACAACTGCTTGAGTTTGACAAACTCCTCGGCGGCCAGATCCGTCTCGAGCGGGGGGCTCGTGGTGAAGGGTGGGAACTGGAAGGGGTAGGGGAACTGCGGGGGCGGGAGGATGCCGATCTGCGGCACTGCGTAGAGCGGGGACATGGCCGTGGTGACCGGGACGGGGGAGGCGGACTTGAGGTGCTCGTCGGACCTCTTGGGCCGGGACTTGGGTCCGCGGCGGGTGCCGTAGACGTCGACGATGGGCAGGGGGTTGGGCGAGCCGTCGGGGTTGAGGACCATGGCCGGCTTGTGCCCGTACTTCCGGAGGTGGAGCTTGAGGCTGTGGCAGTACTTGGTGGCGTAGGCGCAGTCCGAGCAGCGGAACTGGTAGACGTTCGAGTGGGACTTGAGGTGGGAGTTGAGCATGGACTTGTTGACGCACGAGTACGAGCACTGGTCGCATTTGAACGGCTTCGAGCCGAAGTGATTGCGCAGGTGGTACTCGAAGTGATGTTTGTACTCGGTAACGAACGGGCACTTGGGGCAGGTCAGCAGTCGCTCCGCTTTGATGTGACCCCGGGTGTGTTCCCAGAATTCCCGCTTGGTCACTGCCGTGTGGGAACATTGCTTGCACCTGCAACAGTCCATCGAATCCTTAATCACCCTCAGATTCCATACAAATTCGACAATTCATAGTAAGTTCCATGGTAATGGTATATGCATAGAACAAATGAACTACATTTTGCAATTTGGAACTATAAATTCTCGCCCGGTTTGAAAACAACGCATGTGCCATTAGTTTCCCTATGCACGTAAGTGTTTTCCCATGAGAACCAGAATTAATGGTTCCAAATTGCAAAGTGCAGTCCAAATAGAGTCGTAATGTAAATGGGAGAGTTGGTGCCATGTTCTGGTCGACGAATTCAGAGCCCTGTGTGCGCCGAGCTTCGGTCACTTTTTCGATACATTTTTGGCTGCGTGGAATACGTGGTAATTCCTGTCTTCTTTGTTTACATCGGATGGCCGGGTACCCGTGTGTCGAAAACAATCGATTATGTATCGAAAAAGTGACCCGGCGTCACACGGGAGTCTCGGAATTCGAGACCTGGAAAATGCTTAAGTGGCGCCAGCTTTCCCGCTTGCATTACGACTTAATGTACTCTATGGATATGTGATGCAGGTCTGATGAAATTCGAGTTAATAGTGGGCAACTTCTTACCAATAAATGATGACGTCTTAATTTGTGACATTTTTCTTTAATTTACCTCATTGCAAAGTTCATTACTATGCGTTGGTCCTGCAATATTAGACTCTAGAATTCATTATCTACAGAAATCTCCTCTCAGCTGGATATTGCGGGGAAAACATTTATGCAAAGGAAATACTGCTGTTGGACTTGAGCAGATCCTCAAATATTCCCATAGAATGACCTTAAATTGACTTCACATTTCTTCAACAAAGGGTCAAATTCCGAGTGCACGGGGAAGGGCAAGTAAACAATAAAGTTTGAATAAAAAGAGGTGTTATCAGAACCAAAAGTCGCCAAACTTTGTGATGAAACTAATACTGCACAAGAGCGTTCATTTTTTAGCAATGATATTGGTGAAGGAAGTCCAATAAATTCAAAAGCAATATTAATGACGATTTCCTCATCGTAAAACTGGGTGAATTCGCTTGGTGCTGATGATCACAGCAGTTTTATCGAAATGAAGTTCTAATAAAATTGCAACTTCATTTCACCGAATCGTAACTTTTGCGCTGAGAAATGCCACTTGCATTTGGAAGGAACACTGCCGTGCTGAGGAAAACGCCGTATGAACATTCGAGAGTTGCCAAAGAGCTTGATGCAAAAACGGCTTTTTTCGCCCCCCCTCTGGAAGTTCTTCAGACTTTGTCTATTGATTACTCATACTTGAGCGCTTCTTTTCCCAAATTTTCAGACCCCCAAAAAATTTTGGGGGGGAGCTAGGGGGGGTGGAAGTCAAAACCTGTGAACCTCGATATCTCTTGAGCAAAGAAAGATATCGAGGTCTGGTTTGGACGAAAAATCGTCTAAAATTGCATACTTTGAGATTCTAAAGGTCGAAATTCCGATATCACATTTTTAAGTTAACATATGTGCTTATTTCCAGTTTTTAGGTCTAGAAAATTTCTTTTTAACGAAAAATTTACAAAGATCTCAATTTTTTATTTGAACCAAAACCAGTTTTTTAAATTGTTCGTTTTTTTCCGCATCCAACGAGTGGTCCATTAAGCTGGGGAACCAAACGGTTCCGGAGTTATGATCGATTGAAGTTTCCGCTCAACGCGCGCCGACCGATTTTCGCGCGCAAAAAAGTCGGATTTGACTGTTATTAGATCAGATTGAATGTTCAAACTGAGCAAAATGCTTTATTAGGGACTCTTGAAGGTCGCTGAGTTCAGAAATTACCGATACTTCCAAAAAATTCTCGTTTTTAAAATTGCAGCTTCGGACAGGACCACTGAGCGGCCGGTCGGCGCTCAGTGGGCCTCTAAAATAGCGCTGCGGAGCTGTAATTTTAAAAACGTAAATTATTTGGAAGTATCTGTAATTTCTGAACTCAGCTACCCTCAAGAGTCCCTAATAAAGCATTTTGCTCAGTTTGAACATTTAATCTGATCTAATAACAGTCAAATCCGACTTTTTTGCGCGCGAAAATCGGTCGGCGCGCGTTGAGCGGAAACTTCAATCGATCATAACTCCGGAACCGTTTGGTTCCCCAGCTTAATGGACCACTCGTTGGATGCGGAAAAAGACGAACAATTTAAAAAACTGGTTTTGGTTCAAATAAAAAATTGAGATCTTTGTAAATTTTTCGTTAAAAAGAAATTTTCTAGACCTAAAAACTGGAAATAAGCACATATGTTAACTTAAAAATGTGATATCGGAATTTCGACCTTTAGAATCTCAAAGTATGCAATTTTAGACGATTTTTCGTCCAAATCAGACCTCGATATCTTTCTTTGCTCAAGAGATATCGAGGTTCACAGGTTTTGACTTCCACCCCCCCTAGCTCCCCCCCAAAATTTTTTGGGGGTCTGAAAATTTGGGAAAAGAAGCGCTCAAGTATGAGTAATCAATAGACAAAGTCTGAAGAACTTCCAGAGGGGGGGCGAAAAAAGCCGTTTTTGCATCAAGCTCTTTCCCCAGGTAAAACACTAAAACACATGTTTTTGAGAAGAGTTATTCATATTTTCCCTTGAAATATTCAGTTGTTTTAGGTCAAATTGCGAAGAAAATTGTCTGGAAATTTTGGAGAAAAATGTTCAAGATATTCCGGGTATATTCGGCTTTGGTTCAAGGAAATCTGGCAACGTCTAAAGGCTCACAAGACGTTTTTCCTTGGCAGGGCAGAACAAGAGGGAATATTGATGAAGCTTAACCGATTGGTAACACTGGAAAAAAAACACATTGTATCTGGAGTCCAGACTCTTAAAAACATCGACAAGAAAAAGTACTCTCGGTTCTATCAGAATCTAGCTTAAATCAAGAACCAAGCCTCTTAATTTAAGCGGATTTCGTTTTGATTCAAGCAAAAATCCGATTGAATCAAGAGTATTTTTTTTGTAAATGTCTTCAAAAGTGTGGACTCTAGATCCAATTTTTTTTTTTTTTTCCAGTGTGTTTTAGGTCAGATTGCGAAGAAAATTGTCTGAAAATTTTGGAGAAAAATGTTCAAGATGTTCCGGGTAAATTCGGCTTTGGTTAAAGGAAATCTGGCAACGTCTAAAGGCTCATAAGACGTTTTTCCTTGGCAGGGCAGAACAAGAGGGAATATTGATGTTGGGAAACTCACCTGAACTGTTTGACTTTGCCGGAGGAGGTAACTTTGGGTTGATCGAGGCCGGACTCCTCGTCGCCGCAAGATTCGCCCTCGCCCCCGTCCGAGGAAAGGGCCACGTCGTGCGTCTCCCGGTAGTGGTTGGCCAAGTCATGACTGTTCTGTGTCGTGAATTCGCACATGTTGCAAAATTTGTCGCCCTCCTCACTCAGCGTGTGTTCCTTAAATTGCATCCTGCAACAAAGCAAAGATGCGCCAACTCAAAGCAAGTGTTCCTCGTGTAAATATGTTCTTACGAAAGGTGTATTAAGGCAGTGCTCCCATTCCATGTCCGTCAAAAGTTCCGGGGTTCGGAACTTTTTTGTTCCAATTTCTTCCACTCGATGACCGTCAAAAGTTCCGGGATTCCTTTTAGATTTTTTCAAAAGTTCTGAGAAAGTGCCGGAAAATGCAAAAGATCCGGATCATTTCGGGAATTTCAAAAGTTTCGGGAAAAATTCAGGAAAATCTCAAAAGTTCCGGAATGCGGAACTAGTTACGAAATTCGGAACTAGTTCCGGAAAATGGAAGCATTGTATTAAGGATACGCACCTTACTATTTCGCCTTCAGTTTAAAAGTTTAGGCAAGAAAGCATCCCCCGAGCCGCAATAGTTATCTACTTAACGATGACTCGCATATTGCGTCGCATAGTAGATCGAGTCAATGGGAGAGATCAGGCAAAATTTGGAAACTGTAAATGCTTATAACTCCAATTAGACAAAACACTGAGTTTTTTTAAGTGGCTCCATTGTGTGCCAAGGCCGCGTTCTTCTTCAAATAACGCGTTCAACTAAGTCTCAAGAGTCCAAAATCCACGAAATAAGTGTAAGCTTTGGATTTAAGGTTCTCTAATTTTATCGGGTGGGCGGGCTTTCTGGAAGAGGACTCCGAGGTCCTCCCTTTAGGGAGTTAGAGAACCCTCCTTCGGGGCGTTTCTCAAACAGAATATCCGACTTTCATTTCAAGGTAATTTTATTCGACATTTAAAATTATAACTCAATAAAATGACTGCATACGATTTTTCGTTTTATTTTTTTAATCTAATTATGCTTCGAGAGACTTAAACGCAAGGGTAGAGAGATAGGAACTAGGAAGTAATCGTTCGGATGAACACAATAGATATTTGGTTTGTAAATGCTATGATGGATGATGTGCAGGTGCTTCATGGCACTATGCTTTCAAAAACCAGACGCGTTTTGGGCTGCAGCACGATACTTACTGTTTCCAAGAACAGTTGTAAGTGTAAAGAGTCATTGGCCAGCACGTAATAATAAACAGTAGGCATACTATACCATCTCTCAAGGACTTTAAGCAAAAGGCGCTCAGTTTTTAATAATATACATAATAACGATAAACAAAACATATGAGTATACAAACGTCATACACACATTTAGAGGCAACTGAGAATTGATGATCAGCACTGGCGCGGCGCAACATCGAATATAGTAAGTCGCATGATCGCAACATTGGAATGCTCTTGGTTCCTTTTTGCAAAATGCAATCCACTTATCGGTCATGGGTTTCATCCCCGGGAGTACAAGAACGTGGCATGTCCTGATTTTTAAACTTGTCGAACCATGCTAATAGCCAAGGAATCGATCTCAATGAAGGGACTGGCAGGTCAAGACGCACAAGTGCAGTTTTTGCTTCTTTGAGAAATACATGTTTGAAGTTTTGAAATCACACCGATTCTCATGGCAGAAAGAGAGTTCAAACTGACTTTTTATGCTTAAAAATTAGAATTTGGGAGTGGGTTTTTCACAGAATATACATTAAGACTAGGTTAACTTGAAAACATTAATAGCTATCTCAAGTATTTCAAAAACTGCACCTATGCGCCTTGTCCTTCAAGCCCCTCAATGGTGCTCTCTAAATAAAGATGAGGAAGCGTATATTGACACGAAAGAACTAAATGGTTGTGATGCACACTGCTATAATTCTGCCTTCAATTTTCGAGGTAGGCCAGAAAACGCTATCTACTCGAGTCGAGTATTTTTATCTAAAGTTAACCATGAAATTGGCAGCTTCGAAGCGAATTGTGTTTAAATTTACCAGAAAATTTTGATTCCGGCTCGATCTATGGTTGGTTGAAATTGCATTGTATGAAATGAACTATTCACCCTTAACTTTATCCAGGATATTCGTGCTTTTCTACAGCGTGCGCAGGAAAGAACATCCCTCTTGGTTTCAAATTTTTGAACTTTGAGCAAATAGTGGGTTCAAATATGTTATACATGGACCGCGTTTATCAGAAAGGAACCAAGCCACGTAAGCTGTTGCCAAATTTAAGTGGGCAATTTAATTTTTTACACGAGAACGTTTGTGCGGATTCCTTTGAAAATTTTAAGGAGTTTGCCTCGTACTATGTAGAAAATTCACTGACATTGGCACCTAAATACGCACAACCGTTTTCATGTAATATAGTAAATTGCCCGATTAAATTTGGCGATAGCTGATGTGACTTGGTACTCCTTTCTACTTAACGCAATCCAAATGTAAGCGTCTTTGTGAATGTAGCTTCTTGCTGGAATGGAGGTGATTTCCCGCGCTGTCCTGAGAGTCCACCTCCACATCAAGACAAACTCTCCATGCAAAGATAGGGATCAAATACATTAGCAGAGATGCCGTGTTTTCAGTTTTGGAGTCCCCAAATAAAGTGGCAGCCCTGTCAATATATTTGCTCCCTATCTTTGCATGGAGAGTTTGTCTCGGCGTAGAGGTGGACTCTCAGGATAGCGTGGGATATCCCCTCCGTTTTGGCCTCAACTTATAAGCTCTTTTTGAGCTTAGGAGATGATTTCAGGGAAAACCAGTGGCACCGTCGTGTCTCTCGCGAACTTTCACATAAGAATCAATGGTCAAATTGCAAATTCCTCACACATGCAACATCTCCATTCTACACCTAATCGCTACCACTCATCTGACAACAGTGCTGATGAGCCTCTAAAAAGGACAAGAGAAGAGGCTCCAGAGGTCGCCGTGCCACGATCGTGTGATGGATTTACTTAAGCATGCTAAAAGCACCAATGTTACTCGCAAACCCTATGCACATAGGTTCTTTTACCATTTAAATACGTCCTGTTAAGGGTTAACGCAAAGCACAGGTCGACGGATAGAAGGACGCGAGTTAAGGAACAATAAGGGGGAAAAGTATGCATACATTTTCACGGCTGAGACGGACAACCGTTGAGTCACTCGTTTTCAATCCTTTTCTTCTTTTATAACTGTCGAAGGTCCTTCGTCGAAACAAAAGATACCATCGATTAGCGGTCGACAGAACAGTTATGAAAAAGAGCAAAAAATGAGGCAAAGGAAAACAATGAAAACGCACTGGTTTTGTTCTTGTATAATATCCTGCACTTTGAACGGAGCGAATGGTTTTTTTTTCTTTTTTTTGAAAATCTCTCCTGATTAATGACACAGAGCGACCGTTTTGCGGAATCCAACGCGAGATGGAACGCTCGGGGTTCCTCCAGTGGCGTGCTTTGCGATATATCGATTGATCGGCCATTTAAACCTATGGAAAAGTATCGACAAACAGGGTGTTCGCAGCGAACACCCTAACTATCGATTATTTACCACAGCCTCAAATGGGGAAATATCGATGGATCGCAAAGCATGCCACGCCACAGGCTTCCTCGTGTAGCAATAGCATAGAACAGACATATCCGATCGTATGATAAGATTCTTGAAAAGAACCACAAGATAGCACTGAGTTTTTCACCTTAGATGTTAGGTGAGTTGAGTTTCAGCAAGATTGGGATCCCTTGAATTTTTCAAGTTGAAAATCTGAACATGGAAAATCCAATTAATTCACAAATGCAATGCTGCCAGCTCACAATGCTCACACGCTATTTTTTAATCATTAAAAAATTCAATGTTAGTGTCTTTCGATTCAGCGAGACATCAAACCATTCAATTCTTTTTTCTCTGTGAATGCATAAATCCTTTTACGCACGTATCGCGCACTCGAGGAAAACACGTTGGACAGTTCTGAGCATTTCCTCAGGCGCTGAAGGCGTGATTACAAGAGCTTCAAAAACTTTTTCCGTCAATAATTTGAAATATTTTGATGAGAATCAGAAATTATGAGCGGTGTCGATTAAAACTTTCTGTGATTTTTAATTTCATATTCTCTGGCGTATTTTTGAAACATTGCATTGCTGCGACGCCGCGCCGGTTGAGATGCTCAGAACAAGCAAACTAGGGTTCCTTCAAAATAAGCAATATAAAAACACGTAGAAAAAGGCTAAAACCAAAACAAGTTTAGTTTTAAACCATGCAAGAGATGATTTGCGATTTTTTTTTAAAAAAAAGAAAAAAATATCGCACGTAAAAAATGACTGAGCTCTAAACTGTTCTCGGAAGAACTCTCAACACTCAACTTGTTCTCGGAAGAACGTAGTTATTAAACCCTTTTGCGCAAATCATCCTTCATAATATTTTTGGCTCAATAATCTAATTTTACACTTTCCACTTGAATGTGCTTACGCGGGGACAAAATGTAATTGGGAGCCTTGAACATATTAAAGGTATCATCTTTTTATCCTAGGGAATGACGTGCTAAAAATTGGTCCACTTCCATGAGGTCGAGATTAAGGTGATTCGATGGACGCCATATTTTGTGTCAGAACGGCATGCGATATATCGCATCAATCGGTTCCATTTTTTCAACTACTCGTCATTTTTCTCCAATTTTGAGATCGCAATTCTGTTGTCAGGAGACTAAAAGCACTCACTTACCAATTTTAACAAAGAAATTCAACGTAATAAAGGCGTGGTTTTTTTCGAGAGTAAATATCGCATTCGAGTGCAGTTTCGATATCGGTATCGAATTTATTTAGTTTAGTTATCGCCTTTGTTACGTTGAATTTCTTTGTTAAAATTGGTAAGTGAGTGCTTTAGTGTCCTGACAACAGAATTGCGATCTCAAAATTGGAGAAAAATGACGAGTAGCTGAAAAAATGGAACCAATTGATGCGATATATCGCATGCTGTTCTGACACAAAATATGGCGTCCATCGAATAACCTTAAGGGATGGGACGAGGGACATACGGAGTACAAGTCCTCTGAGCTCGCTAATGGGTCCCTAAACCGTGAACAAATTTTGACTTGCGAATATAGTTTTCTGAAGGAAAATGACGGGTAGAACACGACGCGCACATTAAAACAAGTAACTCAACAACCGAGAAA